CACCTCAACGTTAAACGCTTCTGCGTCGCCAGCTGCCCAACCTCGAGTGAATGAACGTCCACTTTCATAGAAGGACTCTTTGCGCGGCTTAATGAAGAAAAAGGCTCTAAACCATTCCCGGCCTAACTTTGGGGAATCCGATAAGAAATGCCCGGGAATGTCAAGGTGCCTCTGCAGAGATAAGCAGTTGTCGCTATGCGCCATGGTAAAGAAATGGTGAAAAAGTTTGAATGTGGGCACTACATTATGCTGCCGACACTTCAACTTGAACAGGATATGGATAAGGAAGACAGAGGGGGACAAGCGCCCAAGTGAGCATTGACATAATTCTAATATGCCTTCGAGGATGGAGTCTAACGGAAATCGCAAGCCGAATCAGAAGTATTCCCGGTAGATACCAAGCCAACGGGGGTCGACCACCCCAATCCTGGCCACGCGCGGCGCAAGCGCAAAAGACTAGGCGCGTGGAAGTTGCAAAGACACGACCAAGTTATCCAACTCGAGCGCCTTGACGGTCGACACGTGCAAAGGCCCGGCCTCTGCAATGGTCAAGTGGCATGTCTCAAGGGGCGCTTCCCCTTCTGGCCACGTGTCAGCCCAATTTTTTATTCTCACAGAGTCGTCCTCCGAGGCGCCCGAGTCGGTCGATAGGGGGAGGTCTTGATAGACCGTTAGTTACACATGTTTTCACCCCTGTTCTTACACCGTTTGAGATGTGGTTTCTCGTGTTTTAGACCGATTTCACGCTAGGTTGTGCTTGTTTGTGATATTTCAGGTCCTGGCAAGTGAATGAAGGTTTAGGAGCGAGTTCGGGGTCGATTGGGCGAAGATCGGGCGCGAGGCAAGTCACAAAGGAAGTCGCACGGGCACACCCACAACCCGCACGGCCGTGCAAGTGACCAATTTGGCCGTGTGGGATTGTGCGAGAGTAGACACGGGCAGAACAGACAATCCACACGGCCGTGTTTGTGACCAGTTTGGCCGTGCCACATTCTGCGAGAGCAAACACGGGCAGGAAGGGAAGTTCACACGGCCGTGCGACTTTGGCCGTGCAAGAAGCCTGGAATTCAACTAATTGATACGCTGCGTTTTGACTCGCACGGGCAACTGGGTGAGCTGCACGGCCGTGTGGCCTGCCTGTGTGAGTCGGGATTTTCTCCTTTTAAGCAGATTTTCAGCCACAATTCGGAAGGATTCGGGTTTTTGAGAGAGAGAGATCAGTTCCTAGAGAGAGAAAGCGACAAACAAGAGTCTCCAAGTGCCCTAGATTGATCTTCAACACCATTGGAGGCCAGCTTCAGCTTGGAGAAGTGCCGATCAACGTCCAGAAGCAGGAATCCATCCTTCACAGTATGAATTCCACGTCTGATTCTGCTTTTGCTTTCTTCTCCATGGAGTAGTTCTCCCATTCATATGGGTATGGAGAACCCTAGATTTGTATGTTAGGCTTTGATTGTATGAACCCAAGTACTGATTCTATGATTGATTATGTTCGATTGAGGTTTTAATGATTGAATGACTTGAATCCTGATCAAATTCCTGTTGTTTCTGCTTTAACCTAGAATGAGAATATCTGACTAGGTTAATAGAGTATCCTTGATTGAAGGTAGGGAGTTGGTGACTTTAGTCGAGGAACCAACTCACTATTCTGTACCGGATTTACTCCGGTAGTGGAGGTTTTGTTCTTAGGGCCTCAATCTGTTTACTCCGGTGGAGGTTAGTCGCCCGCTAGAGACTTAGATTGAGAGGGTCTGAAGACCTTTAGTCGAGACTTCAGGCTGTTTGAGAACATTCCGCAGTATAACTATCATAGAATCTGAACTTGGTAATTACAATCCGACTTAACTGCAGTCTAGGGGGAACCATATCCGGGTGACCTCTCTTAACCTGAATACAACAGTTTACTTGCTTTGTTAGTTTGTTAGTTTAGACTTGCATTCCAGTTTCATTGCTAGATAACAAGAATTCACTGAGTAGTCATCAGATCTAGGACCCAGGTTGATAATTAAACCTAAACCCACTATACTACGCTTTAGGAAGTGGTTTCACTTGGCCAATTCCTAGGGTGACAGTAGAGTCGAGTCAAGTTTTTGGCGCCGTTGCCGGGGACGGCTAGGTTGTTGAAGAAAAGTGATTTCTGTTAATTTAGCTTTTCTTTTTTGCTTTGTTTGCTTTGTCCCACTTGTGCCTTCACGGGTTTGCTTGCTTGAGTGTGTGCAGGTAGTGCATGACCCGTAGCCAGTCAGGAGGTTTACTGCCGTTGAATCCAGAGATTGACCGCACCTGTCGCCAGCTCAGGAGACAACATCGAGCTAGACTGGCTACGGAAGAGCGCATAGACGGCCACGTGAGCAGTGATTCTGAGGAGGAGTACGAGATGGAAGACTACAATCAACACCAGGGGAATCCTCAGCAGGCTCCCCCGGTGAATCAGGTCCTGGGGAACAACCCCATACCCCAGGATCATGGAGTTCATCATCCACCGCAGCCGGGTCCCACCTTGAAGTACTACTACACTCCGCGGATTGCTGACATCCGCCCGGTCATCCTCTACCCGCCTATCCCAGCAAACAACTTCGAGATCAAGCCATGCTGGATTAAGCTCATTACATCTTCCATCCAGTTCCATGGCTTGAAGGATGAGGAGGCCAGGGTACATCTCTCCCGTTTTCTGCAGCTGACGAACGGGTTCAACCTGAATGGTGTCCCGGATGATGCAATCCGCCTTCATCTTTTCCCCCATTCTCTGGTGGGGAATGCTAAGAGGTGGTTGGAGACCCAGCCCCCATTGTCCATCACCTCTTGGGACGATCTGGATGACAAATTCGTGCACAGGTACTATCCGGCATCGAAGACTACAGAGATTCAGCGGGAGATCACTCACTTCCGCCAGGAGCCAGATGAGTCACTTCGTGATGCATGGGAGCGGTACATGGGATATTTCTGGCAGTGTCCCCACCATGGCTTTAGTGATGCATTCACAGTGGGGAACTTCTACAGTGCTCTCTCTCTAGACAGCCAGAGAGTGATTGAGTCTCTATGCCCAGGAGAGGATGTTCTCACTAAGACTCCACCCGAGCTGAACCAGATGATTAATACATTGGCTGCCAGAGATCATTCCTGGGGGCAGAGCAGCAGAGGCAGACATTCCAGGGACCGTGGTGTGCACGCCATGGAGACCAGATCCGGGCTCGAGCAGCAGGTAGCTGAGCTAGTGCAGACATTGAAGCAGCCCAACAGTCTTATTCCGGGCAGAGGTTTGGCTACACCTCCAGTTGCTCAATGTCAGTGGTGCGAGAGCTCCAATCACCTAGTGGAGGACTGCCAGGCTATGAGGGAGTCTACCACACCCCAGGAGAAGTTGGATAGACCGTTAGTTACACATGTTTTCACCCCTGTTCTTACACCGTTTGAGATGTGGTTTCTCGTGTTTTAGACCGATTTCACGCTAGGTTGTGCTTGTTTGTGATATTTCAGGTCCTGGCAAGTGAATGAAGGTTTAGGAGCGAGTTCGGGGTCGATTGGGCGAAGATCGGGCGCGAGGCAAGTCACAAAGGAAGTCGCACAGGCACACCCACAACCCGCACGGCAGTGCAAGTGACCAATTTGGCCGTGTGGGATTGTGCGAGAGCAGACACGGGCAGAACAGACAATCCACACGGCCGTGTTTGTGACCAGTTTGGCCGTGCCACATTCTGCGAGAGCAAACACGGGCAGGAAGGGAAGTTCACACGGCCGTGCGACTTTGGCCGTGCAAGAAGCCTGGAATTCAACTAATTGATACGCTGCGTTTTGACTCGCACGGGCAACTGGGTGAGCTGCACGGCCGTGTGGCCTGCCCGTGTGAGTCGGGATTTTCTCCTTTTAAGCAGATTTTCAGCCATAATTCGGAAGGATTCGGGTTTTTGAGAGAGAGAGATCAGTTCCTAGAGAGAGAAAGCGACTAACAAGAGTCTCCAAGTGCCCTAGATTGATCTTCAACACCATTGGAGGCCAGCTTGAGTTTGGAGAAGTGCCGATCAACGTCCAGAAGCAGGAATCCATCCTTAACAGTATGAATTCCGCGTCTGATTCTGCTTTTGCTTTCTTCTCCATGGAGTAGTTCTCCCATTCATCTGGGTATGGAGAACCCTAGATTTGTATGTTAGGCTTTGATTGTATGAACCCAAGTACTGATTCTATGATTGATTATGTTCGATTGAGGTTTTAATGATTGAATGACTTGAATCCTGATCAAATTCCTGTTGTTTCTGCTTTAACCTAGAATGAGAATATCTGACTAGGTTAATAGAGTATCCTTGATTGAAGGTAGGGAGTTGGTGACTTTAGTCGAGGAACCAACTCACTATTCTGTACCGGATTTACTTCGGTAGTGGTGGTTTTGTTCTTAGGGCCTCAATCTGTTTACTCCGGTGGAGGTTAGTCACCCGCTAGAGACTTAGATTGAGAGGGTCTGAAGACCTTTAGTCGAGACTTCAGGCTGTTTGAGAACCTTCCGCAGTATAACTATCATAGAAACTGAACTTGGTAATTACAATCCGGCTTAACTGCAGTCTAGGGGGAACCATATCCGGGGGGACCTCTCTTAACCTGAATACAACAGTTTACTTGCTTTGTTAGTTTGTTAGTTTAGACTTGCATTCCAGTTTCATTGCTAGATAACAAGAATTCACTGAGTAGTCATCAGATCTAGGACCCGGGTTGATAATTAAACCTAAACCCACTATACTACGCTTTAGGAAGTGGTTTCACTTGGCCAATTCCTAGGGTGACAGTAGAGTCGAGTCAGGTCTCCAACTCGGACGATTGAGGAGATCCAGGCTCATGGCCTATAACGTTGATGCAAATGGGGTAGGGTCAATTCGGCTATCCTAGGTAACTATGGGCGCCTAAAAAAAAGGGCAAAGCGGAATAGTGGCAATGGGCAAAACTCACTTGGATTTGGCTGGCTGGGCGCCGTGGTTGGCATGTTGGGCGCCGCTGCCACTGATGATCCGGTCTCAATGCTTTCCCACGAGAACTGCTAGGCGCCGCCACTGAAGAAGAACTGCGTCTTTGGCGGGCGCCTCTTTGCTACCACGAGGCGTCCACCCACCCGATTCTTGATTGGGATCGGGGGAGAAGTGCTTCTCCAACAGCTTTATTACATCAGGCGCCTGACCTTCGTTTGGAGGCGCATCCCCGGAAGGAGCGCCTGGGCTAGGTAGCTTCGACATGATTGTTGTTTTAGAGATTTTTTAGAGACAGGCGCCTGGCCGATAGAGAGAGAAGTTTAGAGAGAGAAAGGGTGCGAGCGAATGGACAAGGAAGGGGGCGGCCAACTGCTTTTATAGGAGGAGGAATCCCAACGGCCAGATCTAGGGATGCGTGCCATCAAGCCCCTTCATCCTCACCGTCCGTTCAAAATTCAAAATTTGAATTTTCCCTTTTCAAAAATTATTGAAAACCCAAAATTCGAATTTTGAAGTTGAAAGGCGCACGGCGAGGGGGCGGATATAGGCGCGCGGATATAGGCCCATTTATGACGTACAAAAGCACCTAAATTTTTGTCAACAAGGCGCCTGAACAATGAGATAGGTAAAGCGCCTATGAAACAAGAAATGGGCGTTGCGAGAAACGAAGGATGGTTGGTGGAGGGCTGCAAAGTGTGGAGTGAGTTTAGGGGCCTGCTGAGCTAAGATAGACGGTAACTTTCGTCAATACAACAACTCATGCGTTATATATAGTTAGGCGCCCATTCTCAACTATGAGCGCCTAACTGGGGGACAATTGTTGGATAAGTATGAATGAACCTATGGGGGACATGGGCTCAAGAGACTTGATTGGGCCTAAGCCCAATCAAGGGCATGAGTAACAAAGCAAGAGTTGGGCCCAGATGCGGAGGAGCGGGCGCATAACGACAAGGAAGACGCGGGGACCATGTTGCTATGGGACCAAGTAGCTGAGAATGTGCCACCTGGAAGTGTGGTCCTGTCAGGCGCCTGGGTGCCGGGGTCCGAAAAGCTGCCACGTGTAGGTGCCCGAACGTTGGGCCGTACCAGGCATTTAATGATGCGCTGACGTGGAGCTGGAATCCAAGAGCCTGGTCATGACCTCGATGAGTATAAATAGTACTCGGTAGGTAGCATTTAAGCAGGTTGGCTTCTCTCACTAAAAGCTTTTAGATTACTTCTCTCTCTAAGAGCAGACTCTGACTTAAGCGTCGGAGTGCTAACGGGCAATCCAAGCCCACTAGGCGTTTGCCGGTGCAGGATCTGTGCGCCTGACGGCGAGTGCTATCCGTGAAGGAGGAGAATCAAGGCACGGAGTATCGCGGCTTCAACATAAACACTACATGTCCCTACCCTTCGCCAAAGTAAAAAAGCCTGCTTTACCCGACTGTACTGCCCGTCGGACGAATTGGAATCCCATCTCCGGCGAGGTCGGGACGGATGCCGTCCGACGAGTAATACCACAAAAAAAAAATTAATTGCGGCGGCTGAACATGTTGCAGATGTGGGCAGGAAGTCTACAACCACCTTTGTTCTTTCTCCTCGCCTTGGGTTCGCTGGCTGGGCACACACAGGCCGGAATCGATGGACGGTCGGCCGTCTATGTCAAGAAAAGGCGGAGGGATAAATATGTCAATTTGCTGTATGTTAGGGCGATAAAATTTGAATTTGAGGGCGACGAATAGCGATTCAGTATTTGATATCATAATGATCAAATTATAATGTATTTTATAGAGAATCGTTTGGTATTTGTTAGTAAAAAACTAAACAGAAAGATCTATTTGGTTATTTTAAACATTAAAACGATCCTAAACATTTTCAGTTCCTTTTGAATTTCTATGGTTTTATTCCCGAATAAGTGATGTGCAAATGGCGAATTGCAGTCATCTCTTTTCTTTCACTATTTTTTATTTTCAAATAGAAAGTTTAAAAGTAACGAATAATTAAAATTTGGCATGGGTCGGTCAAACAGGATGAATTTTAAGTTTTGACCCGTTTTGATCAAGTCTAATTTATAATCACATGGTTCCCTGATACCCGATAAAAATCTCAATCCAAACCAGTTTGGCAGGTGAGTCCGTGTTTACTACCATTTTCTAGGAATACGACAATGGCGGTTCCTATCCCAAATCGTGTGTTCATTCATGATTTCCTTAGATTTTATCATGGCCTGACAAAAACCAGAAAACACAATGACGACAAGATGAAAGTTTTATAAAACAAATTAATGGTGTTCTCTTTCTGATCTCATGTAATAATATAATGAAGTTGAAGTTTTTCTATGCTATTCAATTTCATTGGTATGTTTTTAATGGTCTAACTTCATGGTTGTACCAACTTCTGATGTACTGTTTATGTTCCAATATATTCACATTGGTATGATTATTAGGGATATGCTAGGCGGTACTCACCATTAGGCCAATTTAGCTTAATGGTTGAATCTACAGGTTATCCCAATAATTCAATATTCGGCTCAGCTCCTCCGACCAACGGGTCGGGTTATAAGCTAGCAACTCATTAAAACTCTAGCATCATCACATCCAGTCATTCCATTCCCAAATGACAACATTTTTTTGTTGAGTCAGAACCCAGAAAAACTGGTTCGGCCATTGATTTTCTTATTGACGGACTATCGGCTAACACTCAAAATTACTTCCTGGAGATCATCTTGATCTGTTCTGGTCATTCCTAGCCCAGCCGATCGGTTTGACCTTGGCCAACTGATCGGTTAGTTTGACGGAGTTTCTTGGAAAAAACAAACATGGATTCCAGGAATATATTTTATGTTAATATTTATTTAAAATGTTGTTCAAGATATACACTAAATGTAGTTATCTTGTATTTTTTCCTTACTTGAAAGCAATTACTTTGAAATCATACCGGGAGTTACAAAAAAAAGTTAATGATAGGATATTTTATGCTAAAATCGTGGTTGAACAGTGATTTCATCGCTTTGAACCAATAAAACCACCTACTGTGCTAAAGAAGGTATCCGGTATTTCGATATTTCTAATTGAACTGCGCTTCTTAGAGCATCTCCATTTGTGCAATTTCATTTGCAATTTCATTTGTGTTTTTTTTTACACCATACCATTTTTGCAAGCCAACTCATATTACTTTCATTGTACTACATCAATGCAATTGCCTTGCAATTGCAATTAACTTTTTTTAATTTAGTTTAATAAAAACATAAACCGTCAAATAACAGTGACTTTACTTGGAGGACTTAGATTGGCACAAGATTTGAACTCTCCTTACATTGTGAAATCCTACTGTATAACATTGACCAAGGCTCTCTGTCCCTAGGGGTGTTCAAATGGTTACCATGGTTATTACCGAATCAAATAAGGGTAAATTTCATTAACCATGGAGTACAATATCATAACCAAACCGTCCAAACTAATACAACAACCAAATTAACCAAACTAAAGTTTAATCGGTTTGGTTAATTGGTTAACCAGATTAACCAATATAAAATCATATTACCATTAAGTGAGAAATTTTTTGGTTAATTTATCAATTCAAAATTTATATAATGAATAAAACATAACAATCAACACATAGTTACAGTTGACCCTTAAAATAAATACATGCAACTAAGAGAATTATCTTATGGTTAGTATAGAAGCCTCGAAGTCGGTATCTAGAAACCTAGGCCACCCAGAAACTGCCCCCCTGCATTAGAATGAGCCATAAAAGCCTAGCAACACATGCTACATTCCATGAAACTAGGTCTTTCAAACCTAATCCCCCTTCCATCTTTGGCAGGGCAATGTGTTCCCAAGCAACTTTAGCCCTTCCAGACTTGTCCCCATGCCAAAGGAAGTCAGAACATGCTTTCTGTACAGCTTTAATGACTTTTTTAGGAATAATGAAAATCGCCATCCAGTAATGAATCAGAGAGTACATAATTGATTCAATAAGCTGGAGTCTTCCCCCATAAGACAAAGTACTTGCTCGCCAACTACGAATTCTCTTAGTCAGTTTATCCATTAGCAACGCACATTCAAGGCTAGAGAGTTTACCTGAAGTGAGAGGCAGACCCAAATAACGAACTGGGAGATGCCCTTCTCGAAATTCAGATACATGTAATGCAATAGACTTATACTGATGAGCCTAGCCTCCAAAGAAGACTTCACATTTATCAGGGTTACATTGTAGCCCCGAGAGACGATAAAATCTGTCTAAGACCAAACGAACTCCAGATAAAGCCTTTGCCGAACCTTCAGTGAAAATCAAAAGGTCGTCGGCAAAGCAGAGATGGGTAAGGTCTACTGTTTTGCATTGAGGGTGAAAGGGAATCGCCCTTGAGGCTGCAGCTCGATTCAAGAGACCCGACAGAGGCTCCATAGCAATGGTGAACAGGTAGGGGGATAGGGGATCCCCCTGCCTTACTCCTTGTGCAGATTGAAAAAACCCCAAAGAGGCTGCCCTGTATCGATACACTGAAGAAGGCTGAGTTCAAACAAACCAGAATCCACCCAATAAAAACCTGTGGGAATCCCATAAGAACCATGACACAAGAGAGGTATCCCCAGTGAACAGAGTCGAAGGCCTTTTTGAGGTCTATCTTGACTGCGCATCTGGAAGATATATGCATTCTGTGGTAGTTCTGCACAACTTCCTGGGCCATTAAGATATTTTCCAGAATACTACGCCCCTGAATGAATGCTGACTGGTTTCTGCTAATGACTGAGGGGAGGACAGTTCTGATCCTATTGCCCAACACCTTAGCAACAATTTTATATAAAATGTTGATACAAGCAATTGGTCTAAAGGATCCCATATTATCTGCATTAGGGGTCTTTGGTACTAATGTAAGAGAGGCGGAGTTCATACCTCTCGGGAGAACTTTGTGCTGTAAGAAATGTTTGACCCCCTCAATGATATCAACACTAACCAGTCCCCAGTTCCGTTGGAAAAACCCAGCTGTCCATCCATCCGGGCCAGAGGCCTTTGAACCATCCATAGCAAAAAGAGCATCCTTCATTTCCTGAGTAGTAACTGGAACACACAGAGAGTCCTGCTGCTCTTGGGTCAAAGTAGTGTGTAAACATTCCCGAATAACCTCTGAATCAACACAGACTGCACTATCAACTACACCAAATAATCCTTTGTAAAAGGAGACTGCTTCGTCAGCTATGGCTTGAGTATCAGTTAGCTCCCTACCATCATTTGCCACAATCTTCCTCATCCTTTTGCGAGCTGCACGAATGATAGCAGAC